ACTAGATAAAATGTAAGATCTTTTTATACCGTGATTCTTGCAAATAAAAATTTATGATTATTTATGATGCATCTGAGACTACAGCCTATAAAAGTACATTGATGAACATAGGCTGTGTTTGGGGTTGGTTACCGCAGATTTCATATCAAATTATTTTGAGTTATTAGGAAAAGGTTAGGCTATCAGGAAAATGCTTCTGCCCGTCTCCTGTTTCAGTTTCCTTCTGTCGCTCTTACGATACCCACGGGACAATATGGGATAGTGGATATTTTTACTCTCTACAGAACATCATCATCATTACAGCCCTTCACAAGTCCACTGCTGAACATAGGCCTCCCTCAAGGAATGCTACTAAGAACGGTCCTGAAATACCTGCAGCCATCGACTTCCTGCCTGTCTTCCGGGTCGTCACTCCATCTAGTAGGGGGGGGGGGGGTCGCCCTACACTACGCCTACTGGGACAAGGTTGCCACTTGAAAACCTTTTTTCCCCATCGGTGGTCGGTTCTTCAGAGATATATGGCCGACCATACAGCTCATACAGAACCTACAAAGGAAAATTATTCACGTTTTTTAAACATATAAAACCTTACAAACATTTACTTTCATACTAAACTACTATTTTATGTATCTGAATTGAAAAAAGATTTATCAGATCCAGTCAATTTATTAAAATAAAAAATGTATCATGAAAATTCTCAGAACCATATAGAGATAGATATAAACATACAGAGAAATGAAAAACATAATATAATTTCACAACTTTTATTAAATTACAGAACAACAGATTAGAATAGCCTGCGCCGTTAAAAATGGCACGTTTTAGCGCTAAACATGTTGTGTAAAAACTTACATTATAATAGTGATAACTTTGTACATGGCCACTGCAAAAATAGTGTAACCTATGCAAACACTTCACTATTTACATATCTTTATAAAATAAGTAACAATTTCGAGCTCACAATTCCATATAAAATTTTTGCATACTTTTAAATAAGTATAGCAATAAAAAATAAAAACATTTTTAGAGCCAAAAATAAAAACACCTTTTAAAATAACAACAATAATATTAGCTCCATTTTATGTAATCATGTCTCAAATGGTAGTATTGTTACTTGTTACATGGTAGTAATTGCACAAATACTTGTTTAACTATTTTGAAAATACATGATCATTTACTATGTTCAAAATCTCAATGATCTCTTGGGTTCAATATGGATTATGTTTGGGGTTAATCATGGTGTGATTTAAAATTAAAGTTTTTAAAAGAATATTTCAAATATTAAAATTTACAAGACAGTTTATTTAAGAAATAGCGAATTTCTAAAAAAACACACTCCATTTTAAAAGCTCATAAGATACATTATATGATTCCCAGAAGGCACTACCACATTTCAAAATCCCGTAACCAATAGGCGTTACCAAAATTAGGAGCATTATTAATAAAAATAATAATATATATATATATATTTACAAGCAGCACTTTAGGCACTTTGCAATGCAAAAATTTTAAATGGCAACAATTAGTCCAAATTCAAGTAAAATATAATATTTATTTGTCAATAACATTTCACACCTATAAATGTCAACATAATCAATCAATTGTTTCCAATTTTCGTGTCAAAAAATTTTGCAATAATTACGTGTTAAAACAACAGCGAGAAATAGAATTTAAATAAAGGAACATATTCTACAACCAGTATGTAAGTCGAAACTATTTATATTTTTTAAATATTAGAAATAAAAATAAAGAAATATTGATGTGTCTAAAACATTAATCAAAAGTCTAAAATGTGTAAATTCGCTCAGTCTGTCAATACAGCGAATCGGGTTTTTAGTAGTGGTAATACGACGTAATTGATTGTATGTGTGCTCCCGGCGACACCGATCCTCGTACAAAATAAGGTTGACAGCCATTCTATTGTGTATATAGTATTCTATGGATAATACAATAATGATCTTTCTAAGATTTTTATTTACAATTCAATATATTTTTAAGGGAACACTGCAAAACATACACAACGAAATAATTAGGTAATAAGCGATAGTATAAGAAAATAGAGATATTTTTTCAAATGTAAGTCTTGTCATGAAAATATTTCATATCTATCTATATATGAAATATTTCTCGACAGCAAATTCGAGTTAAACTTGAGTAATTAAAGTTAAATAAACACAGTCTTACTACAAAAAAGCATTTAAACACTGGTCCAACATATGTTTAGTTAGACACGGACTTAAATGATAAACAAATGTTAAACAATGGTTTAAATTTCGCTACCACTAAACCATGTTTAACGCGTGCCTCTATAGACAACGTTTAACTTTATTCTCCAGGTCAGACTGCAATACATTCGTTCAGCATTCGATCATTCGTTTTCACGCAAATTAATATGACTAACTACGTAAAATTAAATTTTGTTTTGTCTCAAAGTTCGATAATAAAAGATATACACATATATATATATATATATATATATATATATATATATATATATATATATACCTTTTGTTAAATTTTCTTGAGTTATTTTATTTATGAACAAAAACAAATAAAATTGCAAATAATAGGCAAACATACAGGCTGATGGGTGAAGCTATTCTTCTCTACCGACGCCACACGTAAGCATAGTTTAATTTTGTATGAATCAAACTTACTTGATGACGAGCCCAGTACCGTGTACTATGTACGTGTGTACGTGTGTAATGCACAAGCCCTGCACTGCTGGATCTATTGTGTTACCACGAGAATCACTCGGGATATCGTCTTTCACAACATCTAATATTTTTCTAGTGTGTGAACCCACATTTTTCTTAAATTTGGTGTCGTCATATTTTTCAAACGGATTAACCCTCACACGAACCGTATTACTTTCTCGGAACATTTCTGCATAGTTATCCATGTCGTCTTCATCGAAGTAATCAACAAAATCAATTATATCCATGTTAAATAAAAATACCGAACTGACGGAAAGATGGGTTAGATACTAGTTAAACAAGAGTTTGCGGCTGTTTAAATTTAAACAACGTCTAAGCCGTGTCTATCCGTTAACTACCGTTAAACACTCTTTTGTAGTAACCAATTTGCTAAACACGTGTTGAACATATGTCTAACTTTTTTGTAGTAAGACAGACAATGTTTTAGATTGTTTTTGCGGGTTATTTATCATTGTATAAAAATACATTAGACATCAATGGTTAATTTCATTCATTTGTATAGTACACTTGGCTTGACAACTTGGCTAACCCTGCAGTTGTTTTAATAATATTGGTGAAATTCACCACATAATTTAACATTATAATTACGACTCTAATAATCTAAATTGCACTACCATTTTATTAAGTATATTTACACAATAACTAAAAGAAATGTGACAACCCAAAATACATATTTTGGTATAAAATATATTTACAAACATTGCAATATATTATTTATTATATATCCGACAATGATAAGTTTTATAATTTGCCATCTTTGGTTTGGCTGAACTAGATTTTTGTTTTCTAACAGTCGTGCCTAAATACTCAAATGCTACTAAATTTTAAGACGCCATTAAGTCTCGTGCTGTCTCTGTCACTTAAAGTCAAAGTGACAGTGACATCACGAGACTTAGGGGAAACCACAAAACAAACACCACCCCCACCCCCCCACCCTTGAGTAGAGTTTATAAGTTGTTTTTGCAATATTAGAAAACATTATGAAATTTAATGGTATAAAAAAATCCTGGAGGAAAATAGCTACTTACGATTAACACCGCCGCTCTACGTTTACACATTATAATGCCGTTCACAGTTCGTTCTCAATCCAATCTCGGTCTAATAAAATATTATCAAGTAAAAATATGTGTGCATGCATACTATCCGCAACAGTCAAGTTTCGCTCGAATCCCATTCCAATAGTATAATAAATCAGACCGAGAACGAACTGTGAACAGCAAATGAGGATCGGCCCTTAACGGTGTCTTTAAGTTGAGTAATGTTTCAGTACTTGGGCATCAGAGTATTAGAAGTTAAAAATCTAATATGCATATATAAAATCGTTCATTGAACTTCGGAATACTGATTATACATTGTGAGGATAACAACTTGTTGTGAGAAAGAGAACAAAATATACAAAGACCATTTGCAAATATCACAACCTCAGTCAGTGACTCACATTTATTTTGTTTTGTGCTAATTTTAATCATGCAGCTAATGCAAAAAAAAAACACCGTTCAGCTTAAGTTCGAGTATTGTCTACCAATTGACCCCATACAGTACTACACCAAAATTATTAAGCAAAAATATAATCCATTATGCTTGGAGTAATCATACGACATCTCATATATAAAAAAAATTGATGTGCATTGTCCAATATACTGCACTATGACTGTCTTTAAGGAATATCATATCAAGTTAGTCCTATGATCACCCATTAAACCAAAAGTTAACACAATATTTCTTCTCTGTGTTATTAGTCAGTCCTAATCAATTTACAAATATACAAAATGCAGCCATGTAAATGTGAAGAAAATTACATCCTCTAAAAAGGAAACAACTTTCATATGCAATAGCTTAGCTTTGCTTTACAATACATAATTACTCTCCCCAGAAAAAGCAACAGTCCTCTACCATGTTCGGTAGGCAGATTGAAGGTGGCCAATTATTATTAACAAGATCTATGCCATGACTGGCAACCACACACTTTATTTTATACATGCAAACTTAATTTATTTTCAGTCAATAAAAACTTAAACTTTTGAGTTACAACAGAACATTTTGCTTGAAAAGCCAAAAATAAATAAACCATGTTTTGAGTCACATATAACTTATTGTTCCGCACCTTATCCAACGACATCCTCTACTCTAAAGCTTTCACAACATTGGAGAATGATGTGTAAGAAACAACCACAATATCTCTCTTAAAAAACTAAACTTTCACAACACTCGCGTCAGCGGCAACGGTCACTGCGTAGAAAGTCATATAAAGATGGTGAGGCCACGACAGGCCGCAGGCCGCGATCACGTGAGTGACTCGCGAAGCTGTCGAACTGCCGCGTATACCTTAAAAAAAATAGAAGTGGAGGTTACATAGTGTAAAACTGCTACTACTTTATAATAATAAATGTAAAATATTGTAATAAATATTATATTACGATATCTATAGGTGTGAGATATTGCATACTTTTTCACTAATTCACTGTTACTTTGTATACCTTATTGTCTCATTTTCTTTCTCACTCTATTTCTCTTTTTATCCCTCTATCTGCTCCTCACTCTCTTACACAATTTCTTTCATAAAACACTGTCTTTCTCCATCTCACTGTCACTCCTCTGTGCGTGTGCGTGTGTATACGTGTACCTTGACGGCGGGTCCGAGGCGCAGACGCAGGCAGGCGACCAGTTCCTCGCAGGAGGCCATGAGCAGCTCGGCGCCGGAGAGCCGCGCCGCCGCCGCCGCCGCGCCCGCACCGCCGCCCGCCACGCGCCCCACCAGCATAGCCACCTCTTTCTGCCGTACACCGATTCAAATCTTTGTTCAAATCTCATTGACCAAGCTTCGCACAACATTCAAATGTTATAGCAAAGACACTGACACAACATTTTATGAAATTTAGGCTTGTTTACAGTTATTATATGCCGTGTAGTGGCGGTGTAAGAATATCCACTGCCCCATATCATCCCGCGGGTGTCGTAAGAGGCGGCAGAGGGACACAAATGAAAAGATAGACAGCATCGTCGCAACTAAGACAAGCACGAGGCAACCAATCAAATCAAATCAAATCAAATCAAACATTTATTAATTCATAAGCATGGGTATTACAGGATGTCACATATAAAATTATTATAAGATACAGCCATGTTTCACCTTAGAGGTATATGAACAAAATTGAAGTATATTTTTACATTTTGTCATCAAAAAATATTCTTATGTCATAGTACACTTTTTCAACAAGGAAGCCATTGAGCGCAGTTTTAAATCTTTTGATATCATTAATTAATCGTATATTTAACGGGATTTTATTATAGATTTTTGGTGCCATGCAATTTACACACATTCTTCGAAGAAGTGGTTTGCATTTGTGATTAACTTTCAATGTTCCTTCACGACGACTTCCGGCAGTATTCATTTCAAAATAAGTTGGGTTATTTCGAACAAAGTTTGCAACCTCATATATATACATACACGGTAGAGTCAGAATTTTATATTTGCGAAAGTACGGTTCACATGAATCATCCTGATTTAGACCGAACATCGATCTAACACACTTTTTTTGCGCTTTGAGGACACTTTGTTTTTCAGTTGTGTTGGCCCAAAATATTATTCCATACCTTAAGTTTGATGCAACATATCCGTGATAGGCTGTTAGAAGAGTTTTAACACTGGAAACCTTCCTTAGTTTATAAAGGGCATAAGAGAATTGGTTTAGTTTTTTAATTAGATTATTAATATGAGGTTTCCATGTCAGCTTATTATCTATAGTCAAACCCAAAAATTTTGTAGTGTCTACCTCTTTAATTGAATTCCCAGAGTAGTTAATGTCAAAATTTAAAGGATAATTATTTCTTTGTTTAAAGTTTATTACATGTGTTTTTGTCAAATTAATTGTTAGGTTATTTAATGTCAGCCATTTGAATAAAGATGTCAATGTATTATTAATGTCAATATTTATATTATTCTCATTATCATAAGTAAATAAAACAGTACTATCGTCAGCAAAAATAGTCATATGATGGTTGATTACATTAGGAAAATCATTTATATAGATAATAAAAAGGAGAGGTCCCAGTACACTTCCCTGTGGCACTCCATAGTTTACTTGACGCTCTTTCGATCTGTATATTTTATTTTCACCGGTCTTAGAGTCAATTTTGGTTATATGTGTAATTTGTCTTCTATTACTTAAGTAACATTCGATTAGCTTAAGGGCGTTGCCTCTTATACCATATCTTTCTAGTTTGTTAAGTAATGATGGTGTGTTATATTCATCAGTGGACTTAAATAGACTGTGAAGGTAACGGTAAAACTTTTATCATAAATCAGTATATATTAATATAAATTAAAATTTGATTATAATTTTAATAATTGTTAAATATATTTAGTTTATATTCCCACGCCTATTAAGGTAGAATATATCACAAAGTATAACATTAGATTAGGAACTTATATATGTAACTTATTCTTCGAAATACATGCATAAATATTGTTACGATAGACATTTACGTAAGGTATCGCATTGCACAAAAATTTTCCCGACGGTAAGGATCAGTGGCCTTTGTAAACGAATAAAATCAAGTTTAGGTAAAAAACATCGATATATCGAGTTATCGATATTTTCTCACAAAATCATTAATATATTATATCGTTGATTTTTTTTCACAGCGATATAGCAATATTCGATATTTATTTTGAGCATCGAAATTGATCGATATATCTTATAGCGCAGCTCTGGTTTCATATTTTTTAAAGTTCTTCAAAAAAGAAGGCAACCATGTGTCAGCTTGCAATTTGTGTAGCACGTCGTACAAAACTTAAGGTAAACAACCAATGCCACTGGTACAATAAATGTCACTCATCTAAAAACTGCAGAGTTCATCTAAAACAACTAAATAAGGTAAAACATGACGTATATTGATATTTATCAATAATATTTAAAAATATCCAAGATTTTTTTCACTTGCCACCCCTAAATACAAAGTGTAGGTATAATAATAGATAACGCTCCAACTTATCACAACATTAATGGTCTTATCTCCTTTGGACATATCACGTAATCGCAAGTGTTTTAGTACCTTCTGATTGAAAGAATGGAATGGCCTGGACTAACCTAGGAACTTCTATACCCCTCTTATTAAGTATAAAAGCGTGTGCCAACGATCGGAGAGTGAATTATTTCGAGAACGCGAAAGTGAACTCTATTTCGGATCTCATTCAAATGTTGCTCAAAACTCACTATTTAAACTTTTTATTCAATTTAGGATTGTTTAAAGCTCTTTATGATCTTTACTACTTAATTTTTTTTAATGAAGTGACGAAAGTGAATATTTAAATAACAAGACCTTTATATAGAATTCGATATACATAAATAAATGTACGAATTGGATCTTTCTAATTTAAATAATGTAATGATTAGCAAATGAATATTAATATTTCACATTGAACTATGATGCTATTAAGCATGTATGTGTAGGTATATGGATGTAAAAGAGATGTGTCAGGATCATGCTAAATGTAAGTCCTATTTCAGCGCCAAATGGTATTCTCTGCCTACTCCTCTGTGTGACAGGCGTAAGTGTTTATGTAAAAGTATTATGTATGAGCTACAGTATTAATTGAAATTTGACTCAATGTTACACTGTTTATTGAATCAATCGAATAGTATTATAAAAATTATTCGTAATGATTGCGTTAATTAACTGACCATAATTTTTAATACAACTAAGTAGTAGAAATTACTATACTCTAACACCATTGTATAACCACATATTTGCAAATAGTATAAAAAAGCCAACCTGTGTCCAGGCGACGGGGTCGGGCGGCAGCTGCAGGTCGGCTATGTGCGCGGCGAGCAGGGCCCGGGGCGGCGGGGGGGTGCGGGAGCCCGACCCCTCCCCCTCCCCGCCACGCCATCGCTTCACCCCGCCCGCATCGCTCGACATCGACTCGTCGTCGGACCCCTGTGTACATTAAGCCTCATTTACATTCAGCCCCTGCCACTGCTCCTCGCGCTGCCGGCAATACTTTGCTAAATACTGCCGTAGCAGGATCGCGGGAAGTGTGTATTCACACTCTGCCCTACCACTCACATCACTGCTTTCGACTATGGCAGACGTCGGAATAATTAAAGCGTCCGAGCTGTGTCTTCTTGCAATACAAAATTATGTTAATAATTTGAAAAGACATCAAGTTCAAAAGAAGTTAGATATATAGATAGAAAATTTATTTGCTTAAAAACATGGTACATAAGATGATCAATGACGTGGAACTGAAATACAGCTAATTACACAAACCCAATGTTACATTTTAAAATTATTGCATTGCTTAAAAGTTAGGTACAAACGTTCTTTTTGGCAGCGGCAGTGTCAGCGCGAGTAGCCTGTTTACATACTGCCCTGCCCGCTGCCCTGCTCACTGCCCTGCCCAAAAGGGCTGAATGTAAATGGGGCATTATGTTATCAACATCCTATTTTGAAAGTTTTAGTAGATGCTATTTATTTGAAAAGCCCAATTTTGTTTTGAGCAAACGTTTTGAAATACATACTGCGTGATTCTAACATTTCAAGAGAATGTTACACAGAACGTTTTGTAGTTTAATAATTATGGCTTCTTATTAACCCCGCCCACCTTCCCTTTGAACAAAATGTGACTTTTGTCACTCGGATTGAATACTTATTGCACATAACATGGACATAAAATGCTGCTTTCTCTTTAGTTTTTTTTAATCTCTGTGTTTACAACATGAACTACACTCATATCAACATTTTTTATGTTATATTATAAACTTTTTTAAATTTCCTACTAGTGGACAATGGCATGAAATCTTACACTTTTAGAAACTTCATTTATCATCCTGAGTATGGTCCTGCAATTATTATTGTAAATATTATCCAGTATAAATATACTTACACGTTCATTTTTAGCAAGTTCGACTCGTTTGTGCTTAGGCGGCCGTCCACGTGGTAATCTGAAACAAACAGTTTATTGATGAACTAGCTGTGCCCCGCGGTTTCCGTGCATGTCACGCGATGTGACATGACACCTCGCACAAGAAGCGTTCACTGCTGGTTTCTCTCGGTTCTCACCGGGCGGCGGGCTTTTGTTTATAGTCTGTAGCGTGCTATTGATTTATAGTCGTTTTGAACAACTTTGCTTTGAACATTTATTGTGAAAACAGTATGAATAAACGATTTATTTAAAAAAAATTTAGATGGTTTATTTAGCACAATGTGAAAAATAATACTGTCTTTAATTGCGCTGTTTTAAATCTTTTTATCCAATATTCATAATTATTCACCATATTAATCGGAAAAATGTGAGAAAAGTAATTTCAAATGCATAAGATAAATTTCACCATTTTCGACATTGTATCAAAACTTCGTTTCCGCACAAAAATGCCCTATAAAGTACCAACTTTTTGTGTTATTTTGAGAGCTAAGAAACCCATAAAGTTTTTGAAATTATCAGGAAGTTATGCAGACAAGGTTAAGTAATTTTTTTCAAGTTTTAATCAAATAATAATTTCTATCAAATTCTTACTAGTAGTTAGAATTTTGGTGTTTAGTATATTTTTCAAAATCTCTAAGAATTACTTCACAGAAAAAGTTATAGTTAAAACCGTCCAAAATTAAAATAAAACTGAAAATAAAACAAAAAAATCAATCTCGTAAACTACAAAAAAATCGCGGCACATACATGGGGGTTCAATCGATAGGTATTGAAGTCGGCAGACAACAGGGGTACAGGTTTCCGGGGACAACTTGTATAATCGTCATACAGTTTGTAATTTTAAGAAATTTTGTATTGAAATACTGCACAAACAGCATAACCAAAAAACGACTAGGTAATGTCTATTACATTCATAACAATATAAGATCGATTATAAAATTCATAAATGAATTATAAAAAACATGAGATATTTTTTTTACATGGTAGAGCCATGCATTTTGCATTGCGTTTGCGTTTGCAATTTAATTCTTAATCGAGGACAGATGTAAATGTCTACGGACCACAGAATCCCCTTGCCGTCGACTGGATTCTTTGCTTGTTTGTCATTAAAGTTAACTATAAAAATAAAAGTAAAGAATACGCACTTTTCTTTCGTGGTATCGGTCGGCGTACTGATCTCTATCGAAGGCTTAAGTGATTTATTTGGTATCCTGGAATGAAAAATAAATTATATTGAGAAACAAATATCACAAAAATTCGGTCTTTAGTTTTAAGATATTGCATTGTATTCATGGTTGTTAAGGGTTCGTCAGTGTGGGTATCTATCGTGTTAAATTTAACTTGTCCCCAAGCCTCATATCATATCAAGTGGACTGTGTGCCTATATAAAAAAAAACATTAATTCGCGTGTGCACGCGCGTATGTACGCGTGCGTGTGTATACGTGTGTGTGTATACGTGTGTGTGTGTGTGTATATGTGTGCGTGTGTATATGTGTGCGTGTGTGTACGTGTCCGTGCGTGTGTACGTGCACGTGTGTACCTGGCGAGGCGGTCGGGCGGGTCGCCGGCGCTCGCGCGGTACGGGCAGGTGGAGGCGGCGGCGTGCTGCTTGTGGGCTCCGCCGCGCACGGAGCCCAGTCCCCGGCAGCCCCCCACCCCGCAAGGTCCACTCACGCGCAACTCCTCCACCGCTGCGACAAACATCACTCTTATTATATTGGCCGTCGACAGACCGCGTTCGTCGAGCGTCTAAATGCTCCGTATGCTACGCCGTTTCAATAACAATAGCAGAGTCGTTAGAGGAATTTTCAATAGCGCGACTACAGCTTCTTAAGTGGTTATTCACGGCAAACTTTAGGCTGATAGTAGAATAACTTTTATTCGCATTCTTGATTAGTTTTTCAACCCCAAGAACGATGTCCATTAACTAGCGTTTCCAAGAGTACATCAACTAGCGCATTTCTTGAATCCTGACACCCCCCCCCCCCACACACACACACGTAGCGTTGCTGTACCAATTACCTTTAAAATACTCTCGTATTGGTGTTTCCCATAAAATATTTAGTAGTGTACCGTGTAGTGGAGTTTAAGAATATCCACTAGCCCATATCGTCCTGTGGATGTCGTAAGAAGCGACAGAGCGAAATTGAAACAGGAGATGGGCAGCAACATCTTCTTGATAACAACTCAAAATAAAAACTACGAATCAATCCCCCCCCCTCCCAATGAGCAATCTGTGGAGGAGGCCTATGTACAACAGTGGTTTTTTATAGGCTGTAATGGATGGATCCAATATTTTATATACTCGTAAAAATTTCGTAAACATGCACTGAATGCTGATGAGGTTGCCACGGAGAAAACATGGCACATTTGCTTTAAAATTCCACTTTAAATGTCGCATAAATAACTTAAATATTATTTAATTTGATAATTAAATAGAACTAATTTAGTCAAGCATAAAATCTATTAAGGGATTCGCGTATAAGAAAGCAGTTTAACTTGTGCAGTACTAAAGTAAATATTTACTTAAGGGCGGTTCCAACGGATGTCCGGTCTTCAGGCACCAACCCACCGGATGAAGATCGGGTGAGTCGTCGTCCAGCCAGCAGGACAGCTCCTCCGGCCAGCCGTCGAAAGTAACGCGAACCTGGTGGCCTTTCACCTCGGCGATCGTCGCCACGCGAATTAGGAAAGGCACCTGATACAAACATTTCCATTTAATTGTAACATTTCACTGGCACCTATTTCGAGAAACGTTTGCCAATAGTTAAGTTTTGCCGGTATTCCCAAGTAGTTTAAAAGAACACTCATATTCGGATTTAAAGTGAATACTTTTTTTAATAACCGCGTAAAGGAATATATTAATATGAAAACAAACTTCGTTTATTCATTAATTCGATTTTCAAATTTATAAAGTTTTCAAAACAATGTAAAAATATGTAAATGTGAATGTATTTATGTATGCACAGATGTATGGATATATATGTAAGTGTATATGCTCAATTGCATATACAATGTATAATTTTTTACTAAATAATACCTCATACACTGATTTCTCCCCAATTCGCTTATCTGAATGTTTTTTTGTCTTAACTTTTAAGTTTCAGTAATGCATGTCCATCCTCACGGACAGAGTCAATATTAAAAATCTGCGCTGTTTTCATTTAGTACAGTGTAGAGAACCGGAGACCCTTTTTACTGGAAAGATAACATTCTTTCTATTCCTAGTAGTCCTCAGGAGTAACAACACATCTGCGTTTTGATTCTTAATCGAGGATAAATGTGGATGTCTATAGTCCACAACGTCTTCTTACCATAAGGTAGACTGTGTGCTCGCTTGTCACAACCTTATTCTATAAAAAAACAATATTAGTATTTTCGCAAATGTGAAGCAATTACCACATGAAAATTCCAATAGCGTAATTAGTTTCATACATGTGAAGATGGATGAAAGGTACTCACCCTCGGGTCCACCACCTCGAGCTTCATGGCGGGCTTGAAGCCCTGCGGAGCGCGGGGTTTGAAGGCGCGCGGGGGCGCCGCCGTCGACCGCGTATCAGCCAGGTAGCACACCCACGAGAATGTCTCCGGGTCCTTATCTGCGGATAAAATATGTGGCAATTAATTAAAATTTTTCTTTTTAGCAGACTTCAAAAAAATAGTAGGTCCCCAATTCAACTGTTATTTTTTAGGTATGCAAATAACATATCGATGGCTCCTAAGTATAGTGAGTCAACTACAAAATTCAAATTTTAGAGGAGCGCCAGTCAAAGATTAATTGTTTATAAATTTTTCTGTTTTTGTACTAGAATGTTGATTTTTTTAAGTTTGTGTTATTTTAAGATTTGAGACACTTATACAATAAAATAGTAGACCTGTTTTAGTGAGTTTCCAGGATAATGTAGTTGGCTTAGTGTACATCATATAAATCATGGCCTTTAATGAGCTAACTGTCACATACACTCGTTTACAATGTATTTGAATATTCACCATATCTTTAGGAAAAAGTATTAGGTTTATAAATACATAAATACAGTACTGTAATTTATTTTCTTGGACTAGTAAACCGACGTTGTATCTACAGTTTCAAGGATAATAAATTAGTTGACTCATTATACACCGATTTTTATGTCCGAAATAGGTTCGATGAAGTAGCAGTAAATTGATATATCTGCAAATTAAGCAAGCTTTTAGCTTGTTAATTTTTGATACAAAGGAAAATAACTATGTTTTTTTTTCCTTTGTATCAAAAATTAACAAGCTAAAACATATTAAGTTAACAATCAAGTAGTTAAACTTTTTTATATTTTCCATACAACAAAGAAGTTTACATTTCTGTCAGAAACCAAAATTATATTTATATGCGTTAAAATTAAAGGTCTTATTTCTCTTCCTAATCAGATAATTAATTAATTTTTTGGAATTATTTATTTTAATAAAATTCAATAAAATAAAATATATTCAGGAAAAAATAATATCTAAGTAGATAAATCAGGGTTTTTTCAATCAAATTTTTCTGAAACGGTATAAACAACGTAAAAATTTATCGAGAGGGTTCTAAGGAACATTGTTTTACAAACAGATATTCTTTTTATCTCTGCATTTTCATTTAATTTCAACCATGGTAAATAATATTTAATAGTGTATAGCCGCTTGGAATTTTCAAAAACAGTTAAGCGCTTAGAATGTACAGAACTTCTAATAGTATATAATCGAAAAATAATGTGATTATTTACTGCCATAGTTATATTTTAAATAAGTTAATGTAATGAAAAACTTAATTTACTTAATATTTTTATGAAAAGATTCCATTAACTCGTTATTTTCAAAAAATTTCGTGTTCGTTATTTTTGTCTTCTGAGTATCTAGTATTTTGTTGTGTTCTTTCCATGCTTATTTATATTTAAACACAACAATTTTTAACTTAAATCTAATATAATGACCGTAATACACACCTAAATTCCAGTCCAGTGTGCACATGTCGCTTAAAGTACCCCGCCCGCGTCCCGCGTTTACTGAATTCGAGTAGTTAGCTTAGAGTACGCCGTATGGCAATTTTAAATTCCACAACATAAACCAGTATACGTTAGATTATTTCCAAGAATATTTACGCATTTTAGATTTTTTCGATATAGTCTGATAGATAATATATTTTTACAATCAATGCCGTCAAAACCTGAAAATACCTAAAAATGTTAGATGACTCACTATACTTAGGAGCCATCGATATAATACTTTAATTTTGGTTTATAACAAGATAATAAAAACCACAGAAAAAGTATTGCAGGCGACAAACTGTATTTTCTATAGCAATGTAAGTAGTAAATAAATAAAAAATATTTTTATTGTTAAATTAAAATTATAATTTAAACAACCATTACATCAGATTTGGTAGACCACAAATCCTCGCAAAAGAACACCGATTCCGAAATTAAAAAAAAAACATCCTAATTTGAATAGAAAAGGAGGCTGGGTACTACCACCTGCTTGAGACCGTATAATCAATAAAATTAAAACTAAACCTAAGCATACCGCTGCAAGACCTCAGGACATAGTCAGTTCATTTTGCATAGATCGGACCATAAACAATAATTAAAAAAGCTGAAGGTACTCCGGGTTTAACAATGACATTGGGACGTCAGTCATCTCAGTCACCCGTGACCATGGGTGCTGGAAAGCGCCCGAAACGTCGGGAATTAAAAATAAAAGGAATTGACATATTAAGAATATGCTTAAAATGTCATTTTTTTATTTATAGGTAATATAGTTTTTGTAAATAGTGTATTATTATTGTTGCGTAATAGGACTTATAACGAATGAAATAAAAAACACTAAGTATTTACAGAACAACTCAATGTAGTTTATTTGATTTGTCAATCCTAACAAAAACAAGATTTAAAACAATCTTAAATGTAGGTGACGCGACATAATAGACAACTATGAATGCACTTTACTGACTATTTTTAGAGTTCCGTAATTAAACATCAAGGAGGTTCCTATGTCCGTACGTCCGTTCGCGGATTTACTCAGAGACCCTAGGTGCTACAAATCTGTAATTTGACATAGTTATAGTTATTAACCACGCCTACAAAATTGTGAAATAAAATCTTGAAAAATATTTTTGTTTGGGATACCTCCCATTAATTGCATTATACTGGATGACCTTTTTTACAGTCTGGAAAAATAGGTGGTAACATGTGAATGGAGTAGAATCCTATAAGCACTGATATTTTACCGCTTGAAATATTTTTTTGAAAAAGTGACAAGGCCAAAGATACCTAGAAAATTTATTGTTTTACTGCCGTTCGTAGAGTGGATATGATTTCAATTTCGATATATTTTAATTATTTAATTTATTAAATATAAGTTTGTGTTTTTATTTTCTGTAAAATATCAGTGTTACATGTTACACCCTATTTTTTCCAGACGGTAAAAAACGTCACCAGTATATAATGTAATTTATAAGTGTCGCAGCTTAGTAAGTTAACAAGTAACTGTCGACCAACTTATAAAATGCGCTTGGATTAGTAAACATTTCGTTACAATTCCATATAAAATGACGTAAAACTAGCTACATTATTAACTTTGTAATGTTATTGTAAACTGTAAATAAACATTTCTTTGAAAGAAACGACTTATGCTTTACTACTAGAGCTTTACTTTTTCCTTTGTGGGTAGGCAGAGAGGATCGATCGCCAAGATTTCGATTATTTTTAGTTCTGGTTATTGTAAGCCTCATTCACAGTATTCATACAGTTTCATTCGTGGTACTCTTGGTATACGCGGGCGACCCTCGTTTACGTGATGGCATTTTTGTACGGACTCATCTGAATGACAAATCAATTACATACAATTTGAATTTTGAAAATAATACATCAAAATTTAGACTATTATATTTAAATTCGAATTTTTTAAAAAAAATCTTTTTTGATTACCACTCCCTAAGACTGTTTGGAAAATAAGTCCTTTAGTTAGTTACCATCGTCGTATTTTTAAGTCTCTATAGCCGCGATCATCGTTATCAACATTAGAGCGTTTCACAAGTTCAATGCTGAACATAGGCCTCCCCCAAGGAACAGACGAGGCTGCCATTCGAGAACCTACCTTTCTCATCAGTTGTCGGTTTTTCAAGCTATATGGCCGATTGCCACTTCAGGTTACTAATCCGTTGGGCTATGTCGTTTACTCTAGTTCTACTGCGAATATCCGCATTCTTAAGTCTATCACGCAGAGAAACCTCGATCATAGCCCTCTCTATAGCTCGCTGAACTCCGTGAGCACGAGTGAGCGTGAGCCTCATACAGCCAGCAGTGAAGGACCACGTTTCAGATTTGGCAGAGCCACGCTGCAACTATATTATGGTTGTTAGACGTGGTAGAGCCCACGCATCAGCTGTATTATGGTTGTAGCACGAATAGGTTGGCTCGACTAACGATCACGTTCTCACAGAATGGTATGGTGAGTGTAGGGAACCGGATAACCGTTTTACTGGATTCTCACAGAATGGTATGGTGAGTGTAGGGAACCGGATACCCGTTTTACTGGATTCTCACAGAATGGTATGGTGAGTGTAGGGAACCGGATAACCGTTTTACTGGATTCTCACAGAATGGTATGGTGAGTGTAGGGAACCGGATAACCGTTTTACTGGATTCTCACAGAATGGTATGGTGAGTGTAGGGAACCGGATACCCGTTTTACTGGATTCTCACAGAATGGTATGGTGAGTGTAGGGAACCGGATAACCGTTTTACTGGATTCTCACAGAATGGTATGGTGAGTGTAGGGAACCGGATACCCGTTTTACTGGATTCTCACAGAATGGTATGGTGAGTGTAGGGAACCGGATAACCGTTTTACTGGATTCTCACAGAATGGTATGGTGAGTGTAGGGAACCGGATAACCGTTTTACTGGATTCTCACAGAATGGTATGGTGAGTGTAGGGAACCGGATACCCGTTTTACTGGATTCTCACAGAATGGTATGGTGAGTGTAGGGAACCGGATACCCGTTTTACTGGAATCGAGGCATTCCATCTTAGTACTCAGGGGTGACAACGCATCTGCATTTTGATTCTTAATCCAGTTAAATGTAGATGTCTATGGGCTACAGCATCTACCTGCCATCAGGTGGCCTGTGTGTTCGTATGTCATCCTTATTCTATAAAAAAGATCCATAAGTTTTACAATCTTTGAAATTTTGACGAGAAGATGTATCATAATCTCCCATGAACTCAATATCCTTATATTATCAACAAGGCCACTTCTAAATTCACGTATTATGTCGGCAACTACAGAAACCTACCACTACATTGTGCGTGGCTCGACACACACATGGCCAGTTTTTTTTTTTAATATTATTATTATAGGTTGGTACAATTTGAATTTAAAGAAAAATCCACGCTAAATTGTAACCATATACCAATTTAAAGAAAAAATCCATAATGATTTCTTAAATTTACGCGAACACTACACATTGAATAAAACTAAATTTACGGATTTTATCGCGTTTATTTCATTACTTTTACTTATTTTTTTTTTACTTATTTTTAATTCCCGACGTTTCGGGTGCTTTACAGCACCCATGGTCACGGGGGG